AGTATTCATTACACAAAATTTAAGATGAACGAAATGTGACATTTAAGCAAAAATAAGACGATAATTCCTTACGCCTCTTTCTTCAGACACTCCCATTTCTAAACTGAGTCTCGTGTACAATTTAGTGAAGGGTTTATTTTGTGTGCTGTCATCCACTTGCCCCAAATATGTGAGGTGTCTGACGCAACTTGACGCAAAATTTCGACCCTACAGAATGTTTACGAAATGTTTTGAACACCAAAGAAAACTTTTATGCAGCATTTGTGCCCAATAGGTACGACGTGTACAATTTTAATTAAAATTAACAGTTTATCGAATACCACCATGTTTAAAAAGAGTCCGTAAATTTGCGTGTAATGTGTAGGATAACAGCACAAATTTCGCGTCTGAAAAATCCTCATCTACTCCTGGGTGTTCCTGGTAACGCACTTATCGCCCTGATGAAGGAGGCATCAAGGACCTCTGAAACGTCGGTAAACTTCTACCAGGTTACACGGCGCAACAACCCAGAAGACAGCCATCCTCGGATTCACCTTCGTGAAAATATCAGGCAAATCCTACAAATGTATTTGTAATTTCTATAATACAAGAGCCGCGAATATGTAATTAACCTTCAACTGTTAACAGACAGCGATACACATTACTTCTACGCATTTACTCAAACAGCGAATAATACAAAGATGGCTGTCTCCTGGGTTGTAGCTACGCTTGGCCTTGCAGAAGACTGCCTTCTTTGTACCCACGGCCTTGAGGACCTCAAATCACACTTCCAAATATACAAATCAAATGGGCCTGTTAACCTCAACAAGATATCTCGTGCGTAATGTGGAAAGGGCTGTCAGTTGTATAATGTGTGACGGCTTCGTGGTAAATATGGCCCCTCCGTGTGGCAGTGTCCCGTGTTCCAGAAGGCCATGGGCAGGAAATTATAATGTCGCATGATGTTGCATCGTTAATTAAAGGGATCAGAACTCAACTTTTTGACAGCAGAAAGGAAATTTCCCTTTCCGTGCTAGATCGACCCAAGTTCGCAAACTTGTTTCATTACTTTCGGTTTGTTTGATTTTGGCGCCAAAGAGCTCTGTTGTTGGTGCAACGCGATCCGGTCACGTACTACAGCGAATTCAAGCAGTCGATTCCCGAAAACTAGACCTGGTCCCGGAAACACGTGTGGCGGGAGCTAAGACCAGATTAGTAAAGTGGCAACTACTTGATTTTATTTTGGAGGAAGCCGGTTCGAATCTCGGCCGGGCAGTACCAAGAGATACTCCTTTCCAGTTCTTATACATTCCTATTCATCCGACGTCCGCTGTCAAGTAACGTTACCAACTGCACGAAGGAGAGTCCTCCCTGAGAAGCTCATAGTCGCTCAGCTGGTCAGAAAATTCCTCGACTATCGTTTAACCCGAATGTTCATTACCGTTTTCACAAAAGCTCGCCACCGGCCCCTATCCTGAGACATGTCAGTCCAGTTTATACCAATATATTTTATCATTCTGTAATCTATTCCTAGGTCTTCCAATGGTCGTTTCCCTTCATATTTGACGACCAAAATATCCTGTAAAATGAAAAATTATTGTGGTAGAATTCATTGATTAATCGGAAAATCAACGACCTGTATCAACTGATGATATTAATCAATTACAATTGCGACTGAGGAGACAAATTAGGAAGGGACCTGGTCGTGGCATATTTTAAGTAAAGACGTCAGTTTCTGTTGGAGATTTTCCAACGTACGTCGTACAGTTTCGTGGCCGATATGAAAATTATGCCG